AGGTGGGGCAGCTCCAGATCCAGAGCAGCAAGAGGCTGATCAGGATGAAAAAGAAGGTGAAGTCAAACAGCACCATGGTCCTCACTCTACCTGCCATCCACTCTTCTTTCTCCCTTGTAAGGCAGGCTGCTCTGTTTGTTGCTTTCCTCCTGTGGTCAGTAGAGGGGGTGTGTGTGCCAGGAATCTATCTCAGCAGAAATCCTAGTAAGTGTCCAGAGAATACAGGGAGCCCAAGGTTTATAGGCCTCGCAGATTCTGCGTTCAGTATCTTGGGGTGAATCTAAAAGCCAGCCTCCCCTTCACCACTGGCTGGCTAGACATGTCTCCATGGGCGAAACACTTAAATGTACAACACTTCTCAAGGAAATGTGCTAGTGCCAATGGGCAGGACATATGGAGGCCAGTCCCACAGTGAGGATGGCTCCAGGAGCAAATGTCATGCAGGGTGAGAGATCAAGGATAACTGGAAGTCAGATTTGGAACCCTTGGCCCCCTAGGGGATGGGAATGTTTTTCTGACTTCAGAAGAAAGTGGGATGTAGAAAAGGTGACATGATCTGAAAGCAATGGTCTGGTTTCATTTCAAGGGGAAGCTTAAGGAGTAGCTGATTTAGCTAATCTTTCATCCATTCATTCATACCTCAGCAAAGGTTTTCAACAGCTGTCACATGCCCCACACCTAGGTGCCAAAAATGGAACAGTGAAGAAGATGATGGGTTGACCCTTCCTGGAGCTGGCATAGAGGTGTCGGAGATGCTCTCTCAAAAGGTCTCTCTGGAAAGGTCCCAGGGACCTGACAACTGATAGGTCACACACTAAATGGCAGAGATCACTTTCTCACCAGCAGTGATCAGGCTTTGCAGGTTTATTTGCTGCTCAGAAGATTTAAAGCAAAATATGATGTAGTCCATGGTACAAATATAGAGTCACACATTTCAAGGGATATGGGTTGAAGGAGCCCTTTCACAGAGAAAAGAAGTGAGAAGCAGCTAAGGAGGAGAATGAGGGAGGCCAAAGGCAGCACATGACTACTGTCTTCACATTGCATGCCTCCAAAATGCCATGTAATGTTTTTTTAAAAGAATGAGCAAAACATCACATTGTGTATAATTGTATTTATATGAAACATCCAGAGGACCAGAAGATAAGTCCATTCACACAGAAATCAATTTGGAGTTTTCAAGGGCTGGGGTAAGGGGAACAGGGAGTAGCTGCTTAATAAGTACAGGGTTTTTGGAGAAAGTAGCAAATATGTCTGGAACTACAGAGTGATATGTGTACAACCATGTAAATGAACTAAACAGCACTGAACTGTACACTTTACAATCATCCATTTTATATATGTGAATTTGATCTTCATTCAGGGGTGCATAGTGAACAGTTTGAACTTCACAGCCACAGTATGAATCTGCTCCTCCACTCACTGGCAATGTGACCTCAAGCAGCTAATGCCATTGAGTGGCTTCTGTTATTCACCTGTAAAATGGGCATGACCCTGCACCCATCACCCGGAGCTATGGAGAGGGGCACTCCTACATAGAACCCTTTAGCACAGAACATGGAGCACAGAGACTTGACAAATGTAGACTGTGCTTCTCATGGGCAAGGGAGAAGTCACTCAGCATGAGCTGTAGCCTGGGAGGCAAAACTCCAGAAGGTCCTTGAGTCAATTTTTCCCATTTTAACCCCCAGCTTCCTTTTTTGAACCAAAGAACAGGCTTGATTATTGTTGACCCAGTTCTAACCTCTGCAACTTTATTCACATGGGAAAGGAACACAGTATAGAGTTTGGAAGAACCACAAACAGTATGGAAGGAAGATGACAGAAATAACTTTTGCATGGAGTAGCAACCAGGTAGGGGGAAGGATGTTGATTCACAAAAGGTTTCTCAGAGGCAGGAAGTGAGGGGTCATTCTCTACAGAATTAGGGCACTTAATGACCCTGTAATCCTTTATTCCTCTTCCATTATTCCACCTTGTGGGGCAGAAAGTGAACCTGGTACGTTGGGGGTATTCTGCCCAAACCAACTTCCTGGGGTGTGAGGTCAATGTCCTCAGGAGCCACTGGGCTGGAAATGGAGAAATTCTGAAGGATGGTGGTGAAGAAGAGGAACAGTTCAGCACGGGCAATGCCTTCTCCAAGGCAAATACGCTTCCCTGTGGACATAGAAGATCACAGGTGTGGGCCAGGGTGATATTCTTTGCCCCACACATCCCTAAGCCCAGACAATTGTGGTCATTGCACAGGGATGACCTTTAGTCTGCAGTTTGGAGTGGACTTGGAGGAGGCTCCCAATCCTGATACTGGGCACAGATCTTTGGGTGGATATTCCATGTTCAC